ATGATGATGATGAGGACTATGAGGAATAAGATGATGACGATGGTGATGATGATGATGACGAGGACTATGAGAATGAGTATGATGATGATGAAGATTATGAGGATGATGATGAACAGGGATGTTGAAGATGGGGAGGAACTGCTGGCCACAGTATGGCATGAGCGAGAGCGGGAGCGAGTTCGCGGAGGAGTGTGCATTTCCGGTCTCGGCCGTAGCTGCAGGCTGCTGCTGCTGCTGCTGCTACCGACTACTACTGCAACCTCCGGTACGTGCAGAAACGCTCGACTCCTGGCACATTGTTGGGGCCGCAGGGCTTGCAGATTTCGATGTTTGGGGAAGCTGCTCCCGCAGTGTCAGATTCTTAAAGCATAATCTCGGGGCTTTGAAAATTAGAATAGGGTTTTGGGGTACTTTATATTCTACTTGTAAGAAGGGATCCCCAAAATAGTATAGGCAATTATTTGCTTGGCTCCAGAGTTCAGGGTCGAGTAAAGGGGAGGCCAGGCATCTGCAGCACGGAAACTCGCCAACTATCCAAGACTGCAAGCGTGCATGCATGCATGAATACCGACACACACCCATAAAGGTGTATATATATATATATATAGACATAAATACACATTATATGTAAGCCAATGTATACATATATTTATATACATATATATATATATATATATATATAGATCTACATGTATACAGACACAGAACTATCGTAAAACAGCACTCTCTGAGCACCCAGAGACTGACAACCCTAAATCGGCTCCTGGGCAAGGCGATCTGGCGAGGGCAATTCAGTTGCTTGATGGCTTACCTATAGTCTCCACTGTAGCTCCTTATTTTAGTTCACCAAAGTTACATTATAGGATCCTAACCATAAAACAGGTTTACCAAAACAAGAACTACGATGGAGGCCATAGGTAAGGCTTAAGTTTGGTGTGCTTTGTTTGGTGATCGAAGGTAGAACTCCGGGCTCGTAGGTGTCAAGTGCTTCGGGTGTATAGGTTGGACTCTTGCGGAGCGTGGTGTGAAGGGAGGAAGTGGGAACATCCAGGGGAGGTTACCCTAAACCGCCTTTAAACCCAAAACCCTAAGCCCCAAACCCCTAAACCCTAGGCCCTAAACCCTAAACCCCTAAACCCTAAACCCTAAACCCTAAACCCTAAACCCTAAACCCCTAAACCCTAAACTTGGGGAGTTGGGGTTGCTGATGCGAAACTTTGCGCTGGTTTCTGCTGTTGTATCCTTGGACTCCGAGGACTCGTTCCCGATCCCCGGAAATAGGGTTTCGGGCTTAGGGCTTAGGGCTGTGATTTCCGGATCGTCTGAAGACCAAGGGTGTGTGGAGTCAGGTTAGTGGGGTATCAGTTTCGGGCTTATGATGAAAAGGGCTGTGAAGGTGGGAAGGCGGGGCTGTGGGAGACTTAGAGGCACTTAGAGGCGCCTCAGGCGTCACGCGTGGGTTCTGACTAAGATAGCTTTCGAGATAAGTAAGTCGATAGCTGTGACCCTGTGAAGCTACATACACATGCAGAGTAACCATTACAAGGTGCGTATGTGCTTTCCTGCGGCTGTTACTACATCATGATCGTTAGGACCGTCGGCCACAACGGCTCCATACTGCACACTGCATGCATCGATTCTGAGACTGCGAAGTAGGGCCTTGGGGTCAACGGCGACACGCAGCATTTCCAAGATGCACGTTTCAAGAACCCCTAAACTGACAAACTGGAAAGCCGAATGCGCCAAACGCCCTAAGTCAATGCCGAAGCCCCCGACCGCAAGATCGTGAAACCAACATGGAAAATCAAATCGAAGTTTGCGATACCAGAAGCAATCAAAGCATGGCTTCAAAGAGCAACTCCCACCCTTGTGGTTAGGCTTCAGGGCTTGATGGGCTTGGGTTGGTGCGAAGGGCTGAAGGCCGCCCGCAACCGTGAACACTGCAACACTGTGCTCTTCTGCAGATGTGCCTCTTCCAAAGTGCCGGTTCTGCTTCCTGCGCAGGGTGAAGGACATCGGAGCTGATCGTCTATACAGGGTTTCTACCCCTTCTTCAGGTATGATACTAAGTATGACTAAGTATCCACAAGCAGGCGAGGTGGGGCTACAAAGAAGGCCAGCGTCCGGCTCAATAGCTTAGGGTGTATAGGGCTTCCGGTCCGGGAACCCGAAAACAGACTATCTCGCGGCCAAAACCCTGGACCCCACACCCAAACTGCTGGAGCACTCAACATGGAGTTCGGAAAAAGTCACTAACAGCTTCCGCTTACAATCCTTGTATAATAACTATAACCATACCACAAAAGGCCCCCAAACCCTATTCTAATCATGAATTCAGACCCCTTGCTTAACCCCAAAACAGATTTTCGAGCTGAGGTAGTCTGATGGCCTTGACCTTCGAGGAAGAGCACATGCCGTTTTGAGTCCTAAACCCAAGCCCCCTGCATAAAAACTCAATCCGACCCTAAATCCCAAATCCTAAGACCCTAAAGTCCTGTTTAAGGGCGCCAGAAGTAGGGTTAAGAAGAGTCCCCTTCAAGGGGTCTCCCTAATGCTACCTAGGAAATAGCAGCTCTGAGTTTGAACGTTTGGGTGCTACGGTCGCTTCTTTCGGGGTTACGGGCTTCGAATATAGGGCTGCGGCTTAGGGTTTAGGGATTGTAGGCTTCGAGTTTAGGGTTTAGGGTTTAGGGATTGTAGTGTAGGCTTCGGGTTTCGGGTTGGGCATCTAAAGGAATTCTTGACTTTAGTCTTGCAGGAGATGTAGAATCGATGCCTTCGTCTGCAGCACTTTGCTCTGTCGCTTGGCTCGGATCATTGCCTCAACAGGGGAAAAGTTCGGGGTGGAGGATCTGAGAGATAAACTCACCGCTCCTGTCAGCACGACCGTGTCGCATCTCAGACGGTAACCATAGGCCCCATAGTTCCTTTTTGGGATTACCTTATAGGATTCGAAATAGGAACACCAAAAAGGAACTACTATGGGGCCTATGGGTAACCAGGCTTAGGGTTTTGTTGATTCGGGGCTTGGTGTTTCAGCTTTGGGCTGTAGAGTTTAGGTGCCCGTCCCTTGCAAGAGCCAGTACGCTTCAAACGGTCGTCGTCTACTTCCGTTGTGCAAGCGAACGGGCTCAGCACCCGAGGCTGCAAGAGTTTCGACTCAGGCTTCTTGCAGCAGCTCTATTTAGGGCTTCAGGGCTTTGGGTTTCTTTTAAGTGCAATGGAGCGGACTNNAGGGTTTAGGGTTTGGGGTGTAGCATTTGGGGCCAAGACCAAAACCAGCGGCGAGTTGTTGACGTTGTTGGCCCAAGTCACTGACCCTTTATACTATAACTATTCATATCCCTCCAAGCTAGATTCCAAATAGGAAGCCCTCTATACTACCCCCTATAATCCTATAATACCCCATCCCGGATCAGATAAGAAGCTCTTGCCATTCGGGGAATAGTCCTCGTTACCCTACAAACTATCAACTATAAACACCTGAAGCCGGAAACCCTAAACTCAAGCCATTAAGCCCGAAAGCCTATCCTCACATCTCAACAGCTGTTTAGCTGTTTTTTTTTTTTTTTTTGGGGG